CAGTTTGCCCATTTTACAGATGAAGAAACTGAGGTTTACAGATATGAAGTCATTTGCTCAAGGAGCCGCATCTAGGTAGTGGCAGAACTGGGAGAGATCTTGGGACGTGGGAGTGGAAACCAGTTTGGACATCTATGTCACCAAGCTGGATATTAGCTTGGACACAGATTTTGAGGAAGCAAGGTGGTGCAGTAAATAGAACGTTGGACCTGGAGTCAAGAAGAATGGAATTGAAATCCAGCCTCAGCCACACTTCATAGTTGTGTTACCCAGGGGAAGTCACTTAATCTCTGTCTACCTCAGTTTCTGCATTTATAAATAAGGGTAATAATAGCACGTATTTTCCAGGGTTGTTGTGAGAATAAAATGAAATATCTATAAAGTGTTTTGCAAACCTTAAGACTGTGTTTAAGTGCTAATTAGCATCATCATCATCATCATCTTTTGGACCTAGCCCTCTCATTTTACAGATGAAGAAACTGAGACTTAGAGATGTGAAGTGACTTGTCCAAGGTCACACTGCTAATTGGTGGCAGAGCTGAGACTCCTAGCCTCGTGCTTCTCACTACAATAAGCTTACTCCTCTCTAGGTCAAGTGATGAAGTGGCTTTCTTAAGGTCATAGATTAAACTGTGATTGTTAATTAAATTAAATTAATTAAGCAGATTAAAACTCAGAGTTGAAGCTCAGCTTATGGGACTGCCAGCATTCAAAAGTCTAAGAGTAAGAGTAAAGAGTTAGGGGAATGCACCACTTGTGATAAGAGGGAAGACGATGAACTAGTCCCAGAGGGAGAGAGGAGAGTTAAGAGCTCAGAAGGATTTATACAAGACTTCAGGGACGCCCAGACCTAGTCACCAAGGGAGGGGTAGGGTAGGGGGAAGAGAGAAAGCGCGTGACTTAATGACTCAGTAGATAGGGGATGGGGGTTGTGGATATCAGCAAAGCACCCAGAATCAGAAGATTGGATATGCTAATTAGTGAGTCATTTAGTAATTTGTAAAAGCCTAGGGAGAGGCTGGCTACCCCATATCCTGGTCCCTCTTTTCCCCCATACCTAGCATGGAGATTAGAATGCCACTAGGTTAGGGTGAACAAGAGTAGGGCCTCGGCCTGAAGCTACCCACCAATAATGATTTTACAGCATCACGCTGTAAATTACAGGTTAAAATTGTACCCAGGTCTAGGTGGCAATTAAGTTTTCACTCAGACGTTCAGATTAAAGGGCAATATTCTGTAAGAGAATGTCTGGGCTAGACTCCACCTGACAGGACTGAAGGCTCGCCTGCACTTCCCCTCTAAAGATGCTGCGCCATTTGGACCTGAGGATAACGGTATACAGAGACTCCTGTTTCTGTTCTCACATGTAATTGGTTGCCTGGTGGATTTAGCTATCGTCATTGTCCTTGGTATCGTCATCTCTTCGCAAATCTCATCAGGCCCCTAAAAGGAATGCTCCAGTACAGGGAATATGCTGAATAACCATTCCCCGTGATTCTAGGGTGCTGGTCCCAGGAATGCCATCTTTAGGTTCCTTGTGAGATCTTCCACAACTAGAAGTGAATGGACACTTGGAACTAACGAAAATTAGTCCTTCCTGTGCCAGCCTCTCCCACATGATAGGGTACTCAAGTAGAAATCAGTGAGAGACCAGTCCAGGGAGCAATCCAGCATCTGCCTGATGGTTTAAGGAGAAATCTACAGTGTCTTCCTAGGGACCATATATTTGCCCAGCCCTGGACATTCTGCCCAGTGGTCTAATAGTGCTAATGGTTTGCCTACTGCACTCAGACGACACAATAAAATGTAACTCAGGGAACCCAGTGCTGTATCACTTGTAAAGTTCCCTTGTCCCACCTAACAAAGTCAGGTTAGAAGAAAAAAAACTATTGTCTGGATCCCCCAGGTGTGACATCTTTTTTTTTTTTTTTAATTAGGAATCATCATCTCTTATTTTCCACACATCAAAAGGAGAGCAACTGGTGAAACTGAACACGTTAAACACTATGCATGACACACACATAGAAAAAGTTAAATTAAGTGGCGTCTTCCAGGTCTCTGCTAGCCCTCATGGAAAATTCGGGGATTTCCTATTTCCCAACAAAGAAACTAGAGCAGGGAGATGGGCTTAGCTGTGGTCATCAGCTTGCCTTAGTTCATTGCTTAGGGATGATAAACCATTTGACTTTGTTTCAGGGGGGCATGAAACCATCCCACTACCTTTTAGAAGACCTCCATGTTTATGAGAAACATCTCCTTATTTCTCCAATAGACCCAATATAACTCCCTTACACTTTCCTAGGGAAGTAACATCCAAAATATACCATTTCTGTCCTTTCCCTAACTCGTAAGACACCCATAATCTCACTTCTTATTTTTTCCAAAGGAGATAACCAAACCATCCTACTTCTTTTTTTTTTCTTACCTCAAAAATGATCTACTACGTTAGTGTCTGCTTATCATGCTGAGCTACCCTCACAAGGCGATGAGGGTGGAGGGAGGGGCGAAGGGGCAGGGAGATGATTATCGATACAAAATCATTCTAAGATGTCTACTAGACCTTTCCTGTACTTGACACCAGAAGATGCAGAAAAGCTTTATTTTCTTGTTAGTATTTCTATTCACCCAAAGCCTAGTTTCTGTAAGATCATGTTATTTCCACGATTGGACCTTTGGTCCTGGTTCTTCTTAGTTATCTTCTTGGTCCAATTCAAAAAAGATTAGGTGGTATTGCCTTGATTGACCCCTATAGACCCTCACAGGCCCTGGGGGTCCAAGGAAGGAGGGGAACCTTCTTCAATTTGGGGGGAAAGTGGGCTAGAAATTAAAGTGCAGGGATCTGCAAAGGGCAGGTCACTGCTGCTGATTTGTCCTCACATTCTGGGGGTACAGCCTATTTGGAGCTTGTAGCACCCCATGTGCTGAATAGACACAATAATATTCAGTGATGCAGACACTAAGATTCAGGCCAAGAACTCATTTCAGTTGAAGGAGTGTAAATAAAACTAACAAAACACACACTAGAATCAACTTTTTTTTAGGTCAGAATCAACTTTTCCTTCAATATCCTAACTTAGACACATGCTCAGGAGATCTTAGAACTACATCACCCCCTCATTTTAAATATGAAGAAACTGAGGTTCAAGGTGTTAAGTGACTTCACCAAGGTCACACAGGTAGTAATTTTTAGAACCAGAATTTGAAACCACATCTTTTGCTCACAAATCCAGTTCTCTTTCCACTATACCACACTCCATGCTGTTCTAGGGTTAGGTCTTCTGTTTTAGAAGGCAGCATGGAATGGGAGTGGGGAGGAACAGGATTGGAATTATGAGGCCTGGGCACTAATTCCAAATAGATATTTAACTCTGTGTAAGACGTTGGGCCAAGTCACAACCTCTCTAGACCTTAATTTTCTCCTCTATAAAATTAAGGTAAATAGATGAGATTGCTATCTAAAGTTCCTTCTAGTTCTAATATTCCATGGAAGGTGTAATCTCATTCATTCCAAACTTAATGTTGAAATACACACACACACACACACACACACCCCTCAAGTCTTTGTCTAAAAAAGACAAAACTTATCTTCCTCATCTACAGGTCTTCACATTTTTTGTGGCTAGGTTGTAAATCCTTGAAGGAAGCAGATTCTCTCTTATAACATACATAAGGTAAGACATTGATTCATTAAAAGTTAGCAACACTACCATGCTAAATACTTGAAAAGATGCAGACTTCCACCCTTGCAGAACTTGCAGTTTAGCAAGAGAACACCTACCATGCTCAGTGGTTGTCGAAGAACATTTCTCCGTGGTCATTTTCCTGACTCTTTTTATAATTAATTCCCCTGCCTTTCCAAGACCCCTTTGTCTGGTCCAAACTCTGCCTCTCATCTACCACACATCCAAGATCTTTTATCCAGAGGCTATTGCAGACTTCCTTCCTGGTCATCTGTGGTGGATTTGCTCAGAATCAGCAAGTTCAAAATTGATTACCACCCATTAAGAATTTCTAGTCATTTCCTTCTTCATTAATGAGGAAAGCTTTACAAACACACACACACACACACACACACACACACACACACACACACACACACGTGCGGCTGTGGATATTGAATGCCAGTGATGGTAACAAATGATTCCCTTATAGAAAATGGGAAAATCGTAAACAGGAAGTGAAATTAAAGGGCGAAAATCAGAAGTTCATAGTTTGATTTCTGTCTCCCCACAAGAGGGATATAAGACTACCTTTCTACCCTTTCACCCCGCAACATACAACTTCTAACTCCAATCAGGCCAGTGTTCACGCTGCCCTGTGAACACATCAAGAGTATTCTCATTCCATGACTCTATATTTAGGGTTTTCCTCTGCCCAGTCAAGGCCTACTTATCCTTGAAGGCCAAACTAAGCCCCACCTCCTCTGAGAAGTCTTCCCTTACCACACGAGGATTCATCATCTCCCTCCTCTCAGTTCCTATAGCCCACTTTCTATCTGATCAAGAAGAGAATTGCATCTTCTTTGTTTATGCGGCACGGACGGAGGCTGGAAGTGGAGGGAGAGGAGGAAGAAAACATCCTTATAGCATTCCAGGTCCTAATGAGAATTTGTGATGAGTCAGACATTGAACAGGGGCATCTCATAGAGTAGAAAGACAGTCTTAAATTAAATGGCACACCCCAGGGCTTCTTTGCAATATAAAACCTGCCAATTTCATCCATTCTGATTAACCAATTAGTTCATCTATAATATATACCACCCTCAGAAGTAATATAAGGATTTTGTTTCCAATATTCCACAGTTGAGATTTTTTCACTAATCTGACAAGATTTAGCCTCTCCTCTCAGCCTACCCTTACTTAATCTATTAGTTGGAGTTTCAGGTGTTTCAGCATCACATCCTCTGGCATTCCCACCTTGTAACAGAGAATGCCTTGCCCTGCAACCCAGTCCAGAAATATGGCAACCAAGGAGTTCCATAAGCTTTTCCATCTGAATAGCATACCATCCATCTATCACATATTAAAACATCTTAATCGTATTGTTCATAAGTTTATTTGATCACCTAAAAAAAGGATCAGGTTATATGGTTAGTATGGGCCTAACCTAGTGCTTAATAACTGTAAATAAGAGACACTTTATTAAGAAATTAGAAATATGTTATCCCAACACTCCAGTGAGTAGGATCAGAAGACTTGGAAGTCCTTTCCTGAAAGAGGCCAAAAGGTGTCTGCAGCTTTCCTCTGTCTCCTAGCAATGATGACCGGCGTTTCTTTGGTCTAGGTCATAACCAAGATTCTTTGCTACTCCAAATCCTGAGGTCCTTATACATTGTCAATAGGTTGTATTGAGAAGTTGCACAATCACCTATACTCTCTTAACTGACCCAAGATATGTAATTATGCATTCATAACCTGGGTCTCCTGTCTCATGGGAAAAGGCAAATAAGAGGAAACACTAGTGGAGTAAGTCAAAGGGTCATGACTGATGATCTTGGATATCTGGATTGCCTGGAGATCCCCACGATCTCTTAATTTAGTGATGTGGTGAAGAAAACTATGTGAGAAAGCATTGCAGAGTCAGGGTCACCCACTGAGCCAAGCTTTGCTCATGGTTCCTGAAAGGCAGGAACGGAATGGATTTTTCAGCATGACATCCTTCCAAGTGTCTCCAGCTCGTCTTAAATAAACAAAAGTCATCAAGAGGATGAGGAAGATGAGAACTGCATCTTTTCCACGTGATGAATGCTACACTACAGATGAGAGGAAAACAGCAAAAGGAGAAGCTACATCTGCTGGGCCTCAGCAAGTTGTTGGCTCCCACGGGCCGGGTCCTTGTTCTGGCCAGGAGATGAGATCCGCCGGAGGTCATGGATGGACCTTACTGTCCACTGCATGAGCTCCTGCAGTACCTTCAAGCCCCACAATTTCTTTTCCAAGAAGGTTCGGGGGCCACCCCCACCTGGTATCCTATCAGTCTCTTGAGATGGGGCCTGATGTCCCAGAAGCGCCATCAACTCCTCTATCTCGTAAGCAAAGGCAGACACTTGAAGCAGGACCCTGTGGATGTTCTGGTGGAAATCTCTCTCTGTGGGGGTGAACTGTACCCTCTGATCCTCCAGGACTTCCGTCAGGAGCGTGTGGAAGGTGCGATAAGCTTGGAGATTTTCTTGGAGTCGTTCTGCTTCTGTCAGCTCACTCCACTGGTCGGTGCTGGCCGTTGGTACACCATCCACAGAATCCAGGTCAACATTCTTGTTCAGGCCCTGATATTCAACCTGGGCAAATGTAGGGAGGAAATACAGGAAAGCATAAAATCTTCTCAACTCAGCTATAGGTACGCCCTTAAACCCGAAAAGAAAAAACAAAAGGTCTGTCTTGATATAGACACCACTCAGAATTGAAATTTAAAGGAGGAAGTTCTCCATCTAGAAAGCTGGGGCCTATCTCTGTGCTCATTCAGGTGGTGCCAGGGCGCCTCCAGGCATGGAGTGGTAAGCCAGGACTCCTCCTTGGAGGATATGATCAGGGAATGGGAAAGTCCCTGAAGTCACAGAGAACAACACTTCACATCACTTGTTTTCCCAAGGATGACATGGGAGGCTGTTGAGGTTCTCCCTGCTTAGGAACCTGCACGGTCTCTCAGGGATTTAGGATCCTCTGCTCCTAGGAAGTTCTTTCTATAGTTAAATGCTTGTGTACTTCTTTGTTCGTTTGGGGGGCGGGCAGGAGGGAAAACAGATGTAAGGCTTCTGCGTGCTAAGTCCAAGAGCAAACGAGAGGGATGTGTACTATCACAATTTGGGAGAGTCTGATTTGCCAACCTTTTCTGATTTCATGCAGCTATTTTCCCAAATTAAGACAAATCACTCCTTCCCTTCATTCTGCATACAGAAGGCATTTAAAAATGCATCTGGAAAAAAATGAACTTTAAAAACAACAACAAAGCTAAATTTGGAAGATATATGCCACACCCTGGTATTTTACGTGAAGTGCCTTTGCATAAATTCACAACAAAGTTATAAGAGGCACTCACATCACCCCATCAATAGCTCCCAGGCTATTTCTTACTGGCTAAGTCTCCTAAACAACTCCTAATTCATGGTGGGGATGGTGGGGAGAGAGAGGACAGCATGATACAGTGGAAAAAGCAATAGATTTGAAGTCATAGAACCAGAGTTCAAATCCCAATTTTGCCACCGTTATGATCTGGGAAGTCTGCAACTCTCTGGCCTTATCGTAAAAGGAGGAGTTTCATGGAATGATGTCTAATCCCTTTCAAGGATGAAATCTATGATCCTATCAACTAAAGCTCTCAGGCGAGTTGAATCTCCTGTGATGTTTTCAATACCCAACAGCTGCCTAGACTCATATCCCTAGAAGGATAAAAGGAAGAAATATTGTCCCCCTCACCTTCACATCCCCAGAGATCTAGATGTTAACAGAAGAGATTGGAAAAGGGGGTTCAAAAGGAAGACACAGCAGAGGAATAACCCTTTAAGAAGTTGAAGCCAGAGGCATCCTCCCAAACATCTCTTTTCCCTCAGAGCACTGGCAGCCTCCATCCCTGCCTATTCATCTCAACAATCCCTCCCCCCATCCTAAATCAGACCTGAACAAACCCTAGATAACCAAGACGCCTAGATAGACCAAGACTTTAAAACCACTGTTTGTAATGTTTTCTGACATTCAGTTCGTTTTTTTATTAACAGGCAGTGACCACGTTTTTCCTAACTGCATTTAGGACTGTTTTGAACTCTCAGTAACTGTGGTGAGGAACAGAGACAACAGTAGCTAGTTTGGAAAGAAGCAGTTCATTTCAATTGGATACTTACATAAGCCTCTAGGAGGGAATTCAAGTCTGAACGGATCTTCCGTGCTAGCCAGATAGAACGCGTGCAGAGGTCCCGGTGGTGAGGGGTTAGTGGGGTGTGCTCTGTGAAAGCCATCCCTCTTAGCAGCAGCCTCTCTCCAGAAAACAGCAACTGAGTTTAGGGGTTACAGCCACCTGAGCTGTGTCTGCAACCAAAGAGGTCTTTGCTCAGCTAGAATAACTATTGAGCCTTCTCAGCTTTTCTGAGTTGTTGCGCACCTCCCCGCCCCCCCTTCCCAATCGTACACACTAACACAACAGATACAGAAAAAGTCCCTCTGGTTCTGAGGTGGCAGCACATTCCTAGATACAGATTTCAGTCCCCACAGAATTAACAAAGGGCACTTTTTACCCCATCGACCTTTTCCCCTGCCTTTCTTTTGTTTCTCCCTCCCAGTGCACTGCATGGCATACTGTTTTCCTGTTACTGCTCTCCCTTTGCACTTAGCAACAAAGTCATGATCACTGGAATCCTCTAAGGAAACTCCCGCCTGATGTAATATATTTTATATACACAGATAGTTGATTTCATCAGAGGACTGTGTAGTTTTTGCAACCTCATTTTTTCTTCCACACACCCCATTTAAAGACATTAAGTTTCGTTTTGAAATGGGCCATTCATCATAAGCATACAGTGCCCAAGTTTATTAGAATTATCTTTAAATCCTAAGATTTAAATCCACTCTGCATGCAAATCAATTACAAGATGAGTCTCCGAATCCTACCCTGTGGCCTTCACTCTAGCTTCTACAGCACAAAGATCCTCCCACAACTGCTTGAGAACATACTTCTAAGGCAGCTGCTGGAATGAGGAACAGCAGCCTTATTATTAAAGGTATTTCCTCCAGGTCCTTGGCATTACCAGGGAGATGATGTGAATTAAGAATTATGTGTGTGCGTGTGCATGTGTTGCAGTACCGGACATCGTCACCTACTAGTCAGCTAAGAGAAGATGATGTTTAAAGTTTGATTTCCAAATGAGAGTCCACGCCACCCATTCTAGTTCTAACCTTGCCTAGCATCATGCCAAAGGATCAGTACAAAATCAGCCAAATTCACAAGGACAAACCCTCAATAGTTGGTCAGCAGCATGTGTTTCTTTCATTTGCAAAGGAGATCATTTTCAGGTGAGGTCTAACACAGGTGCAAGGGGATGAGGAAGTGATGGTAGTTACCATAATAGCTCTGGCCTGTGCTTGAGGATTAGACCCTCAAATATATGACAGAAGAACCACCAGGATCTTGACCTTCCAATGCTGCCACAAGGGGTCCCCAACCATAATGAAATCTACTCCTCCACCCTTGCCCCTGGTAGAAAGAAGCTTGAGCATCCAAAGGAATTCCTGTAGTATTCTGAACCATCAGTAACTGTTGTCAACAATTATAAACCAAGATTCCAGTCTAAATCAAAGATTTTACAATGGTTGCTACACTGAGCCAACAATAACCAGTATTGTCCCCATCTCCACCCACTCTTCCCGCTGTCTGCCCCCCACCCCGCATGTCGTAACTTATTTCTACCAAGTTATTGCCTTCAAATCTGACAACATAACCTTTTACCCCTGGGATCATTGCAACCCCATACAACCAAGGAAAACAAGTTGCTTCCATGAAGACAACTTTTATTTTTCTTCTTTACACATTTATTTTCATTATGTTTTACCTAGATTAAGAGAAAACAACAGGAATTGAAAAGCAGAGTATCCCTTTTATTATAATTTTTTTACATAACTTTTCCAACCTAGGTTCAGTTAAGTACCTGTCTCTCCCATTCAATTAAGAAGGGTCCTGCATGTTTCAACAGGCGAAAAAGAGAGGTCTTTGAGAAATAAAATATTTTAAATTGATCCATTACTTCTTTTTCCTTGAATATTACATCTGGGAGGAGGGAAGAGGACAAAGAGGGAGAAGGGGAAAGATGGTTCATCAAACGCCTTAGTCAGAGCCAACTGTGTCCCTTCTGCTCTCTGCCTCATGCAGGTATGGAACTGGTACAGGCACTTCCATACGCAAGCTGCTTCACACCCTAAAAGCCCAGTTCCTCATGGCCAGTTATCACATCCAAACCTCTATCTGAATCTCATTTTAAGATGGTGTCTCAATCATGCAAAAATGATTACAAGATGTCCCTCTAAACAAGGAGAAAACACAGCTCCCTGCTCAATTTGCAGCCTCATGCCAACCAGTAATCTACTTTTGAGGTACAGTGCAACGTGACAAGTGTCCATTCAAAAGGAGAACACAGAGCTAAAATGGACACAATTTAAATATAACAGGATTGGACTATTTCTGGACCAGGGGTAGGAGATGTGCATGTAAGGCTCCTCGGAAGTGCACTTAAGTCAACTTTAAGGAAAGGAGAGGGGGGATGGAGAAGAAAACACAAAGGGGAAGGATGCAAGATATTAGTTTACTTAAAAAGAGAGCAGGAAATCAACTCCCAATTCCATACCATGTTCTTTTCCCCAAATGTTCCCAAAAGGAAAAATAAAATAAAGCCCATGAAAAATACAAAGTGTTTATTGCAAACTACAATAATTTAATTGAAGCAAACTGCATGCACGCGAGTGGTGGCAGAGAAAAGGACAAGGAATGAGAGAAGTAGGAAGTTTCTAAGTGTTAGAACTAGTTGGGGGTGGAAGGGGAATCTGACACAGCTCTCTCCCTTTCCTTAGACAAGCTATGTGTGGAGTTTGCTTCTAGTGGAGTGGCAGTGGTATCTGTGAAGACACTAACCACCACAACTGAAATATATTGAAAAAAAGCAAAGGGCTAAACAACTGATGAGGGGTGGAATGGGTGCTAGCTGGTGTAGCCAGTACAGACTGGGCCTTCATGTGGGCGGCCCCATTTGATCAGGTTTCGTGGCCTTTTCAAACGTTCTCAACATACCAAGTCAACTGGCCACCCCCTAGGGCTTGAAGGAAAGCATATTCCCCATCAGGCCCCATCCTTGTCCCCTTTTACTCTCTACCCCCACAGCCAAGGGCCTGCAAATCTAAGAAACAATGGGGTATTTGAGACTTCGTCCACTGTGGGAGCTCCACTCCCCATTCTCCTGGCAGGCCTGCTCGGCAACAAGTGGTAAAGTCAAGCTTCTTTCAAAGATGACATTTTGGTGTCACGCTTTTCTTCAAGGGTGTGGGGGGGGGGGGAAGGAGGGAGAGAAGGGAGAAGAAAAAAAAAAGAAAAATCAAGATAGAAAAATGATAACCTTTGTATTTTTAGTGTTCATGAAAAGCAGCTGTTCCTCACCTTTTCCAACAAACCTTCTTTCCTCTAACAGTCACCACCCATTTCTCAACTTCATGCCTACCACTTGAGGTACACAATAAAGCCTTTCTCAAGGACAACCACCGCCCTTCTGATGCTCTAAAAATGAGACTGGACAGGCAGTCTTTTGAAGGTTAAAGTTATACCAGACACTAGTCCATAAAGCAGCATACCCCTGGATAGTACTTAGGGTACACAAATTTGCTAGAAGGGACAATGGAGGACCCCTCCTCCCCTGCCCCTAGATTCCAGTTCAAAATGAAAGGCAGCAAGTTGACTGTATCCCTACATCTGTTGTAGCCTCACTCTTTTGAAGAAAGGGCAAAACCATCAGAGAGCAACAGAGCTGGGTACTTTTTTATGAAATCAAATCACAAGATGCCATGCTTTGACCCCTTAAGAGGCAGTGTCTTAACAGAGGGCACTGGAATGAAGCAGACAATGACAAAGCGATGAATATCATAGCAATAGATGGGAATAAATGACCTAAGAAGGTCTAAGGGGAAAAAGACAGACTTACAAGAGAAATTCTTGTTTCTTGCAGTTCATACATACCCTGAAACAGCCCTCCTCTCTCTCTCAAAAACACTGAAGCTCATTGCTCTAGAAATCCAAAGAGGGCACTAATTTTCATCAAGCCTTTCACCCTTCCCTGAAAAGATTTTTCAAACGATCACTAAGCTACTATAGTGATTCTCTTAGTGCTGAGGACCAGCTCTTCTTAGAGGCCACTAGAAAACTATGATTTGAGGGGCTGGCTATATATCTTATACCTTACAGTCTTGCCTCCAAAAGTACCTATTGTGGGAAGGATCCCATATCAGAATAGTTCACTTTCCTAGCCCCACAAAAAAAATAACAACAAAAACAAAAAATCAGACCTTTTGTCAATAAATAAGGAATTGTGTTTCCACAACACAAAAACACGTATGTTCAAAGTGCAAATTTCTGTCATCAGTCTGGGACTCTTGTGTCTCTCCAACATAGAGCTCTGTTTTCCAGTCAGAGAATGTATAGAGGGCAACCCCTCCCTCTCCAGAAAACCTGCTGCTAAGCAAGTAAGCACCACTGAGAGCCATATGGAGGTGTTGGGAAGAAAGGGGAGGGAGGTGGAGGTCCCCATGCAGCCTTTCTTTCAAAAGCTCAGTGGGAAATGAAAGAAAATGGGGATGAAGGATGTGGGCTGTTGGACAGCTCACCCTGAGGAGGGGCCCTAAAGTGCCAAGGTAAGCTCCGAATCCAGGGGAATACAACAAAGTGAGGCTGAGTGCTGCAATAGGGAAGAAAGAAGAATGCCAAGGCTGCAGTAGAAGAGGAGATAAGACTGAGAGGACAGGAATCTGTTAAAAGAGTAAGAAGCCAAGCGCATCAAAACGACAGTCTAAGAAAGGAAAAGGCGAAGGAAGAGGTCTGCCAAAGGTCAGGAAAGTCTGTCTGGCTTGAATTGGGCGTGAGGATTTCCCTCACTTTGCTTTGAGAGTTTCTTCTGTCTATCATTGGTGAAAGCAGCATTACTTTCATAAAGGGGCCAATGGCGTAAGGATGGAGGGAAAGGGGGTGTGCTATGTTCCACACTGGGAGGAGCAGGCCCTTCAGTTACTTTTACTAGTATTTTAAATCTGTTTTAACTTTGTCATTTTTTTCCATTTTTTTTCCTTTTTTTAAATACAAAGTCTGAATTGTCCCAATGCCCCTACGGTCCAGCAGAGTCTGAATCTTCAATCAGAACCTCTGTCGTGGCCCCGAGAATCTCCGTGTTCATGACCAGCCCTTCTGGGCCTCCACTGCTGCCACTCCCCACAAAGATCTTTCCATCCGCCATCAGGCTCACCCGCTCTGCCCCGCTGCAGAATGCCTTGGGCATCCCTTCCGAATCTAGCAGGAGGCACTCCGCAGGGGCCGAGTTCCCCAAGGGCTCTGGAAGAAGGGGAAGGCCCTGGGCATCAGTGGGTTGTGCCAGGGACTCTGGGTTAGTACCCAGGATATCTGTGCTGGTGATTAGGGCTCCAGCATTGGCAGCCAGAGCTTCAGCAATCAGCACCTCGGGGTGGCTTTTTGCTTTGTGGGCCACCACGCTGTCCTTCTTCTCAAACTTCTTGCCACAAATATTGCAAGAAAACTGGTAGAAGGAATCTGCATCGTGCTTCTTCATGTGCCAGTTGAGGGAAGCCTTTTGCCTACAGGTGAATCCACAGATCTCACACCTAAACAGAGAAGCATGAGAACCAGTAATTCAAAAAGGGAACAGAAAAGAAAAAAATGGCGCTCACACAGTCTAGGAGCGATCAACAACTGAGATCTCACGTGAAAAAGGAAAGCATTTGGAAGGAAAATGAATCTAATTTGTCGTCTAGTCCTTATTTCTGAGGGATGTGACAAAACAGAAGGATGAGGAGGAATTAATTCATCGGCCAAGAAAAATCCCACCTTGCCAATGGGCAGCATCAATACGACCGGCTGGCGGCACATTTGCAAAGAAGGCTCTGGCCCTTCTGAGCGTGGGGTTGGCACCTCTTACTCAGAACTGCATTCACTTACTGGAGTGGCTTCTCGCCAGTGTGGATCATCCGGTGAACTGCCAAGTTGTGGGAGCTCTTGAAGGCCCGAGCACAGTACTCACAAATGTAATCCCTTTGATCTAAAAGGTAAGAAAGGGTGTTGAGCTTGCTACTTCACATTTGCAGTCAGCATGCTCATTTCTTTCAATGCTTTTTTTCTTTCCTATTCTCCAACATTTTCTACCCAAGTCCCACTCCGATGCTTCACTATGGTATCGCAGTGACTGGATTTTCAAAAGTTATGTCAGCTGAATCGAAGTGCCGTCAGGTCCTTCCAAGACGGAATGAATGGTTTAAGATACAGGGCAGCAGTTTGTTATCCAAAAAAACAACCTAGATAAATTCAGAAAGCTCAGTACCCGAAATATGGCCACAGCAACTCAATGTATACTCAAAACCATGGAGGCACTAAGTTGGGATATGGGTTCCATGTCAATAAAATCTTGTATTTTTTGAAGTCTGCACTACTCAATATGAAACAGAACATCACTCTAAAGGCAACTATTTATCTAGAAAAGGTCCTTCTGAAGTAAAATCCAGTGAGAAAGAATTACAAGCTGAAACAAAGTGTCATCCAATAAATTTTACTCTGTCACACAGTAGCAAAGAATTGGAATCTTAGTCTTAATCCTACTACTAGGGTTGTGGACAGCTAGGTGACAGTGGAGAGAGGATCAGACTTGGGGGTCAGGAAGGACCTGAATTCAAATTTGACCTCAGGAATTTGCTATCTGTATGACTCTGGACAAGTCATGTAACTGTGCTTAGCCTGAAATTCCTCTTTAATAAAACGCAGATAATAAAAGCACCTACCTACCAGGATGGTCATGGAGACAAAATGAAATATTATTTGTAAGGTGCTCAAAGCTCTATCTGAATGCCATTGTTATTATTATTACTATTAATTCTAGTCTTAGAATTATTTATGTCCCTAAGAACACAGTCCATATTTTAATATCTTTTTTCTTAAAACTGTAATACTTCATAACAAAATTAGAAACCTGAATGCAAAGAGCTTGGAAGCACCTTGGCAAGATGTTGCTCTATGCATCTAAGAGGAAAAAGAAGTGTCAGTTTGGGGTTTTGGAGAGTTAGATAGAATGTGCACTTTCAATGGCTCGAACTTCACCTAAGAATTAGGCACTGAGTTTGCAACCAACATCTCCCTACCTCCTCTCTTCCCAGTGAGTCTCGTTGATGTGTTTGGTGACAGGCTCTAGAACACGCGCCCTCACAATTCCTGGCTCTGTCCCCCCACAGCCTAGGAGGAATAAGGCAGGGTTCCATAGGGACAAGTGTCACACAAGGGTGGATGAGCACCAACTTTTGAATTTTGAAGTCAGAGCAAGAAGAGCAACAACTGCCCCCCTTTTCAGTCCGTCCCCTTAAACTTATCTGCTAAAAGTTTTTTATGAGGTGGAAACTTAAGTCAGCCAGTATCACTTAAATTAATTACCAACTCCTTTAAAAAGATGTCTTCCAACAGAAGATGAGTCCCTTTCCCAAATTCATACTTCTCTAAGTACAGTAAGACAACTGTTGATCCGTAATATTCATTATTTGCTAAAGTCACTTGTTTATGGACAAAGTGAATTTCCATTAAAATGTCTAAGGGGAAAAAAACCTAATTGGGTTAAACAAACAAAGTGAATTTAATGCATATTCTAAGTCATTCAAAAACCTGTCAATCGTTCCTCCTGCATGTAGCCTCACTCATTCTCGGCTATGAGCGTCACTGTTAGGCAATTCCAAGTAGATGATGTGCCACATACCTCACCTCACCAGCACTGTAGCCCAGGCTTCCACCCCCTTTCACCTAGACTAGTGAAATGGTCTTGGCATTGGGCTCCCTGCCTCAAATCTGTCTCTCTTCTCGCCAGGATCTCCTTTCCTCAGCTGACAAAGTGACTTCCCAAAGTGAAGGCAGATCTCACACTGGTACTCCCTTATTCAATCAATTCAAGAGACTCCCTATTGCCTCCAGGACCAAATATAAACTCTTAAATTGACAGCCTCATCAGAGAGCAATTACTTCCCTTAACGAAAAGACAAAACTGGTCTTCTCTTTTCTGCACACACAGCACTCCCTCTCACAATCTCCATGCTTTCATAAAGTAACTTGTATCCTGAAGCCTGAGACACATTTTTGCCTCATCTCATCTCCCTTTTCAGGTTATACCTGAAGTATTCTACTCTGATCTCTCCAATCACATGTACTCTCTCCTTCCCTAACTACGGTTTTATTTATTCTCTTCCTTTTTCTTCTGAATACATTTGCTCCTTGACTGTGTTGTCTAACTCTTTGTTATCCCATTGTGATTTTGGGTTTCCTTGGCAATATTTTTATACTGGAGTGGTTTGCCATTTCATTCTCCAGCACCTTTCACAGATGAGAAAACTGAGGCAAACAGAGTTAAGTGATGTGCCCACGGTCACACAGCTAGTAAGATGAGTCTTCCTGACTTCAGGCCTGGCACTCTACCTACCTAGCTGCCCCTGCCTCTTCGATTGTAGGGATCTTTCATTCTGGGTGAATTTTGGCACTTAGCAGGTTCTTAATAAAGACTTCTGGATTGATACTCAAAGATAGGTATACTAAATAGACCAAATAAAGTCTTCAATTCCCTTAAGTTTTAAGACTTCTTGCCTTTAAAGCTGACAGGAGGAACACACTCCAAATTTGTATGTTGATTTTATTATTCTATTTTTAACAAGAGTACTAAGTTAATGCTGGTGTCCGTAAGATTTGAAAAAATAAGATCACATTAACGAGCTAGTTTAGGTACTTGGAGACTTAGATTGTAGGCTGTCTTACTTGGAATACTGTTTCCACCAGTGCCTAGCACGATGCTCTGCACACACAGAAAGTGTTTAATAGTTGTTGGGTCCATCCATTAAAAAAAAAAAAAATAGGCTTTTTAAGAGGGATAATAAAGGATCAGCAGGTAGTGCCCAGTTATGACAATAAACATTATGTCCATATTTTAGCCTAAATAAGTCAATCAATTTTCTGCTTTCTTTATCGGTAGAAAGAAAATTTCAATTGCAAGATGCTGTTCCTGCTACCTGTGTGATGTTTGGCATGTCGCAACAGCTGCTTCTGGAGCCTAAAGAGTCGTCCACAGGAAGGATGAGGACACACATATTTCTTCTTCAGCATATGCTGGTATTTAATGTGGTGCTAAAGAATGTGAAAGGAAATACAATACGATGAAAATGAAGAAATTTGTCTTTGAATGAAGACACTCAATAAGAGCAGATTTTTTTTTTTTAACATGTACCATGCAAGTAGGAGTTAAAGGCATTAAAACACAAGAAGGTCAGGGTAGTAAGAGTGCAGAAGTGTCCAGAAAACAGATTTTTAGTTCCAGTGTCGTCCACTTGACTCGAAAATCCACGTAGTCAAGTCATTCTCGCAGAATAATTTTATCAATCAGGTGATTCCAAAGAGCTTAGAGTTAGGTACTTGGAGAAAAAAGCTGCTCCATAAAAACCCAAGTTTTCTTAGTCATGCATGGCCTTGACACAACTCTACTGATGGTTACAATCAAGCTGACAAACTGAAATCATTGAGGAAGCAGAGGAGAAAACTTCCTTGGGTCTAACTGAAGGTGAACTTGGCACTCTGCTACTTTACTTACTTGCAGATATCGAGGGTGAGCAAGAACGGTTCCACAGCCTTCCATCTCGCAACGAACATACTGGATCGGAGGTTTCTTCCTGTTACGAGAATTAAAGCCAAAAAAAAAAAAAAAAAAAAAAAAGAATGGCATCATCAAGGGATGAAAAGTTAGGACGTACTTGGTAAATAGTATCCACACAATTCTTAATAGAGATAACAGAAAGGTCCCAAATGTGGGACTTGTAAAACACATTAATCTAGTAGCCCAAACAAGCTAAACAAAGAGTTCACGAAAATATCAACCTTAGTGATCTATGAGGTTGCTGTTAAACTGCTTTATACCAAGGAAGGATATAAAAGAACGGGGTATAAATTACTCACCTCCTTTTGGGTAATCGTGGGCTTTTGTCATCTTTTCGCCTCCTTCCTCTCCTGAAATTAGAGACAAACAGAATGATTTTCAATGTATTCCAGAATAAAGCTGAAAAAATATTCCCATAGGACCAAGGGCGTCTGAAGACATATAATCAAGAGTAAAAGACATGTGAGACATGCTAGATAACACATATGCAGCAAGAAAAACAACTCACAAATCAAATGATCTGCACAAGTTTTGAAATTTTTAGTAATGTTGGGAAGGGTGGTGGTGTTTTTTTCCCCTGAAAGGCTTCATTCTAACCCTGTTGTAAGAAAGTTCTATTTCTAGTAGAAATGAACAATTTCCTCAATAAAATGTGCACTTTAAGAAGAGCTCTCATTAAAACAAAACAAATAGGGCAAATCTCACTATTCCAATAGACCCAAATTCCAAGTGCCCCGAAGCCCAGGGCTCAGTGTCCCTATGCTCACAAAAGCACAGGATTGCTAGCCTTGTAGTAAATTGCCTTTTTATACATACATTTCTTCAGAAGAGAAACTGGTCAATCTATTAGGATGAAGTGAGTGGGAGTCATATGGAAGAAGAAAAATGGACAGAAGTTTTGTAACAACTGTCAAAACAAAACAAAAACAGGCTTCTCTGGGAGGCAAAGTTCACCATCATTTAAAATTATTAACTGGACTTACGTTACAGGTGGGGCAGGATAAGATGAACGCTAAATCCCTCACAAAACTAAAATACTAGGATACTATTACTTCAATCACACAAATTAAGTTATATGCTTAACACATTATACATTTCCCACAAGCACATCACCCTGCCATGAAAGGTATACAGAAAAGAGTTAATCTGTCAATACCTCAGGGAGCTATGATTTTGTGGGTGTGGGTATAGCTTACGCTAGTTGAAGAAGTCAAAATGACAGCACAGTAGATAAAAAATCATCAGGAAACATCAGGAACCAACTCTGTGGTAACACCTAATTCAGTTAGAAAAGCAAAACGCACAGAAGAACTGCAGTACCGGTAACTTCAGAGGACGCTTAGTTCTATTAAAACTGTGACCATCGCTCACACTTGAACATGAAAACTTTTCCTTTCAGGAATACAGTCCCAGCTTATTCAAATCATTTCCTACTTGGCTTTAAATACAAGAACTCCTCACTTATTTTTTCTTTGTAGTAAGAGTCATATGGCATTTCTCTATTACTTACAGACCATGGGACTACTTAAGCTACCAATACATAGAATCATAGCTTTCTAAGTATAGGACAACTGACTGTGTTCACTGTATAATAGGCAGTTTTCATGAATGCAGATCCTTATCCATTATTTACAAATTCTACTAAGTTACTACTAGAAAACACTTAGTACAAGCCCAACTTTCACCTGGCCTTTTAATAGTTCCATTGATATTTTATGTTATTTTTAAATTAATGGCATGAAAGGTTAAGTACTTCCCCCCTTAAGTTCGTAATAATAGAAGCAGCTGGGCCTGGAATAAGAAAGACCCAAGTTCCAATCTGACCTCAGACACTTACTAGCTGTGTGACCCTGGGCAAGTCACTTAACCTGTCTGCCTTGGTTTCCTCAAAACCATAAAATGGAGATAATAAGAGTACTGACCTCCCAGGGTTCTGGTGAGGATTAAATGAGAGAATATTTGTAAAGCGCTTAGCACAGTGCCTGGCATATTGCAGGTGCTTGTTTTCTTCCTTCCTTCTTATGGGAATGGACAATTTTCATGCTAGAAGACCACATCTTTGAGGCTCACATAGACTGGCAGAAAGAGAGGGAACTGAGCTCATCTAGTCTAATTCCAACCAAGTTAATGGCAGAGCAGAAGAGTACGTCCGAGACTAAACCCTGGCTCCTAGCTGAGTGCTGGTGCCACCCTAGCCTGGGGAACTCTTCTTTCAGCTATAGAAAGAACTACATCATATTATTAAAGACTTTTATCACCTTACAGAAAAAACTTTACAACTGATAAAGAAAAGAGTCTTCACAGACATAAAAGTAGTAGTTCTAATTTCAGAGGGGGAAGGATTGGAAACACTCGACAGACTCATTGAGGAAAAAAAAGGGAAACATTAACCAAACTCTCATAAGAATAGTTATTACTCTAAAAGGCCATAACAGCTACTGGAAACTCCATTCTACTGGGAGGAAGACTGTAAATTAAAATCACCATACCATTGACCTAAAATATATTCTTTTGAGCAACCGCCAAAGTCAGAAGTGGAAAAAAAAAAAATTGTAGAGCAGACATTTCAATTTTCACCCCAAATTTCAGGCTCATATATTTTAAAAACCCACAGGAAAAAGAAATTCCCCCAAGGCTTCAAAATTTCCAGTCATTTTACATCTCTAATTATTATCTCCTACTCACTTCCTAGGAGGCTCCTCATCGTCCCTAATTTCATTTTCTTCTTCTTTGACCTCCACCTCCACTTCCACTTTAATTTCTTTCTTTTCTTTCTCTTCTTTCACCTTCCCTGATTTTCTCCGTGGCTTTGGGGCTTCCCTGAACACAAATACATGACAGTAAGGGACCATCTCTAGGAAGGGGATGAGGCTGAGTTCAAGATACTGTGAAGACATATTTCCTTCCAAAGAACCCTCATCTAAATCCTGGGAGTTCTGTATCACCTTCTTCCTTTCCTCCCAATCTCCTACAATATGTATTCTGTCCAATATGCTCAGCAGTTGCCACAACAGCCATTTTACAGACTTGCCATTTAAACCAGGTACAGGGAAAATGCTTTGCAAACCTAAAAGTGTTACAGAGATGTGAGTTATTATTAGTTTTCTACTATCTCAGTTATAGGAAAATAGCACTTGGCACTATTCTGAGATGTCCCCAACACAGACAAATCTCACTAAATAAAGTAGTGAAGGAATCATAATTCTGCTAAGTGCTGAGGCAGTTCGCAACATTTGATTAGGTAGCAAAGGGGTGGACAATGCAAATGGGGGGGGGGGGTCAGGTTTATTCCTGAAACAATCTGAATGAAAGACAAGATTGGGGAGGGGTAAAAGAAGAGAAAAATGGATATGCAAACAAACAAGTGTGTGTGCATTCATTTGAAACTGAATATATGCCCATACACTGAACCAACATGATAAAAGACAATTAAAAGCATGCAACATATCACACAAGGCTCCTCAATTATTTTACACTAAAAAAATAACAAAACATCACTACATTTCAAATGGAATTTGAAGCATGCCTTTCTAAGTGGGGTTTGTAGGTCTCATCTCTTGGGTCGTCTTTGAAGGGTATTTCCTCTTCGCTGATCAACATCTCCTCTTCCTCCTCCTCCTCCTCATCACTACTAAAAGGAGAAAGTCAAACAACAAAGGGGTGATGAAAATTCTATAGCTGTATTTAATTCCTGATCTCTTAAAGATCACCATTCAACAAACCTAATTATTTAGCCAGGCTTCCAACTCTGGTAATCTAGCCAAAGTGAAATCTAGTCAGTTGTTTTTCCAAGGCCTTACTTTTGAGGTGAAATTAGCAAAAGCATAAAAGCATGTGATATGTATGTTTATGCATGTCTTATACATACATACGTATAAAAATATAGTTTAAAGTCCCTTGCAAAACTATAATGCTTGTGGACAGAGCACCGGCCCTGGATTCAGGAGGACCTGAGTTCAAATCTAGCCTCAGACACATTAACATTTACTAGCTGTGTGACCTGGGGCAAGTCACTTAACCCCATTGCCCAGCCAAAAACAAACAGAACTATAAAGCTTAAACTCATAAAGGAAGTTCCAAGAATTGATGAACTCTCCTCTAACTTAACAATGGGTATCTCAAAAATCTATCGAGAAAAGTAGTTGAGAATCTGGGTACAGTATCCTACTCTCCTAAAAGATTAAATTCCCTATTCTCTCCGATGATCTCCAAACATTCCAGAATTCTGACTCCTTACTGTGCTGAACGTTGAAGTGGCAACTCTTCAACTCTTATCAACAAAATAATGCAACAAGTGTTAAAAAAAAAAAAAAAATGAACTGTTCTGAGAATTTTGAGATACTCCCTTTATACTATTAGAAACATTCTAGGGTTCTTTAACATCAGTTTTGGAAATGCTGCTATATTTGAATATATCTGTCCTCTAAATAAAATGGGAGAAAGGCTAAACCTGTTAAAAAACAAATAACAACCCCCACCCCATTAATCTTTTATGTTCTCCATTACCAACTCCTAGTAGTCAAAAGAAGTTGCATGGTTGTTTTAAGAAAGGATTGAGAACTGGCTTAAAAAATACCGAAATTAAATTTTCCAAGAGTAAGGAGTCCTTATTCCAGAAAACAACTAGGATCATGGGGTTTTAATGGTGGGATCTTAAGAGATTTAGTCCAAACCTCTTGCTTGGTAGAAGAAGAAAATGAGGTTTTAGATATCATTCATCAATGAATTAAGAGCAAAAATGGAGAAAAACAAAATCTGAATTAACACAGACATCTAATTTTCACTGACAGTTAAACATCCTTTCAAATGGAAAATATTTATATAATATGACTGTGTTCCAGGGTCTCAAACGAAATAAAAGTGTATCCAAGGAGTTTCCTACCTTACTCCACCAGGAGACTGATGTTCTTCTGCGATCTCTGGAGAAAAAATATGCACATGCTATTAGTTCTACCTCTGCTGACAAAAGAACTGCAAGTTATCATTTCAAAAGAGCAAGCTCTTCTTTCCCCAAGTTAAGCTACTTTAGCCAATATTCAGTGTTACACACACTTGAAATTCTCCGGCAGCTGCTTATTCTACAACTACTTCCCACTTTCACTATACCGTATTCAAGCTGTTCTGTATTGGGTTCTGATTTGCAGATCAGCTGCAAGGAGCCAGTCTTGGACCTTGAACTTCTCGTGTTCTCTGTATCACACTGGCGTGAGGCAGTCCTGCTGCTGCTACGCCAGCCCCGGCTGGGCCGAGCAGCAGCGATGGGAGCTTCCTGAGAAAGGGTAGAGCTGTCTTCCTCCTCCTTCTCTTCCTTGGGATCTGAGATAAAAAAGGACACAGAATACCCTTCTGTGAGTTAACAGTTAGGTGAAACATAGCCATGACATATGATACCATTTTTACATCCAACAAAGGCAGGATACAAATTAGACATTCTGCTTTTTAAAAAAGCCCATCATTTTAGTCATCATCTGGTCTGCTAAAAAGATGCCGCACTATGACAGGAATGGAAAGAATCAGGTGTAACGCAAATTATTTCATCCTAACCTTTTCTGGACTAACAAGAATAGAAGGAACCAAATTAAGTGGTGATCACAGGAAGATCACAAATGCAAAAGGCTCTTAAAATTATCAATGAAAAATAAGACAGGAATTTATTTTTCTTTTTCAACAATTCAGTGATCTTAAAGCCTATTTAGTGTATTTGTAGGCACTTAATAAAGGCTCATTGATTGACTGATGTGCCCACAATGGTATTCCATTAATATATACATAAAGTCACAAAGTATAGTAGTAACTTTGCTTCATGTAACCTATGATGTCCTAAAGGTCTATCATTTGGTGACATCACCCAAAGGCAGAATTGTAACAGGAGTCCACGTCTATTTCAGCAAACAGGATAAGGAGCTTGCCCGAGGTCACGTGACTAATGTCAGAGAAAGATCCACAACTTGAACTCTGTTTTCCTGATTCCAAGCCTAGCACCGTATCTTCTACGCCGTTCTGCCTCAACTTGAAATACCAATACAAAGAAAAAAATAGGCAGAAAAATGCTGAAGAACTTGAGATTTGAATCTAAATGCAAGACCACACTGGTTCACTGCCTAGTTCTCCCTTTTCCCTTTCTCCCTCTCTTTATAAATGCTCAAGATAGTTATTCCTAATAGAAGGAAATCCATTATTTTGAAATATGAACTCAAGAGGGTATTCAGCTCAGAGCAGGCCAGTGGGACCTTCCCAGTCATGGACACTAGGTCTTTGTTAATGCAACCTAAGACTCAGGGTTTTTTCTTTTGCTACATTATCCTTTTTCCCACTTCAGTTTTTAAAAATTCTGAACTCGACATTAAATATAAAACGACTTTTGCTTCTACAAACAAAGCAGAGAGCCAATGCAACACAGGCCTATGCCACAAACACCTGCCTTCTTCCTCCCTACACCAAAGGCAACAGGTTATTTTCAAAGCCACATGCTTGTTTGGGTTGCCAACTGACTTTGCTGTTTCTTACCGTACATTTTAAAAATAACCCTTTTTTCCGCTATTATCTTAAAATAATAACCTTCAGTAACTCTTTTGTAACCTTTCTCCTTTTGGTAATCTTATTGTTAACTTCCCTTGTTCTCTCACAGAAGAAAAATAAAACCCTTCTATTAAATATACAGAGGAGGGAAAAAACAAACAAACGAAAGGGTTACATCTGAAAATATTTAATTGTGCACAACCTCAATGGTGCTTTGGAATAGCAGATGGTCATTGCATTGATCAGTTTTTAAATCTTTTGTTTTTTCTTTACATTGCTGTTGCTATGTTAAAATATATTCTCTAAGTTTTATTCACTTCATTCTGCACACTTTCCTAAAAGGCTTCCTAGGTTTCTCTGAAGTTGGTCCTTTCATCATTTATCATGGGTGTATTTACTGCATTCATATACCACACTTTGTTCAGCTACTCCTCTACTGATAAGCATAACCTTAGTTTCCAGTTCTTCACCACAAGCCACTATGAACAAGAGTTGCTATACATGATTTTGTACAGAATGAGGGTCCTTTCCCTCTCTTTAGGCTACAGGTCTAGTAGTGCTATTACAGTAGGGTCAAAGGGCTTGCATAACTGAATGAATGACTCTTTTGGGTAAGAACTATCTTGGGCAATCCAGAGACACTGGCCTCCACATAAGACCTTCCATCCCCCAATTCCATGCATTTTTACTGGCTGTCTCTCATGGCTGGAACCTTCCCTTCTCCTCTCTTCCTTCTGGTCTCCTTCAAGCCTTCTCTTTCAAATCTTTTCATCTCACCTAAACCCCATCCAAGGCTCCCTCTACCTTCCCCCCCTCCCAACTCAGCTGAGAGAAATTTGTTCCTTATTTCAATGAAAAACAGAATAAAATTTAAAAAAAATGAGGCTATTTGCCATGCATTCCTACTTCCCTCCTCCTCATCTCATCATTCAGAGCCTTCTGCTACTATATTCAATACCCCTGGTCTCACATGAAGAGATGATCCTGTTCTATTCCATCTCTTCCAGCAGACTGTCTCCTCTATCATCTTGACGTTCTCATGTATCTTCAATCTCTTCCTGAAGACTGGCTGCTTTCCCACAAACATGCCCATGTCTCCTCCACCCTCAAAAAACCCTCACTTGATCCTTCTGTTCCACTATTATCCCGTATCTCTCCTGCCTTTTGTGGCTAAACTCCCTGAGAAGGCTATCTATAATAGGTGCCTCCACTTCCCCGCCTCTCTCTCTTAAATCTCTACAATCCGGCACCTGACCTTGTCATTCAACCAAAATTGCTCCCTTCCAAGTTACTAATGATCTCTTAACTGCCAAATCCAATGGCTTTGTTTTAATCCTCATCTTTCTTGACCTCTCTGCAGCCACTACCACTGTCAATCATTCTCTTCTTGATGCTCTCTTTTCTCTAGGCTTTCATGACACTGCTTTTCTCCTGGTTCTCTTAAGTGTCGATCCTTTTCAGTCTCCTTTGCTTACCTCCACTCAGGTCATGCCAGCTAACCACATATATCCCACACAGCTCTGTCTTGAGCCCTCTTCTTTACTCGATGATTTCACAATCTTCCATGGATTTAAATATCATCTCTATGCTTGACTCTTTAATCTACTTACCCAGCCCTAACCTTTCTGCTGATCCCGAGTTTCAACATATGCTACCATGCATTAGACATTTCAAACCGAATGCCCCATAGATACCTTGCCCTCTCAACATATCCAAAACCGAACCCATTCTCTTTCCCCTGCAAATGCTCCCCACCTTCCAAACTTTCCTATTACTGTTACCTCCACCCTCTTGGCTTCCCAGGCTTGCAACCTAATTGTCATCCTTGACTCCTCACTATCTCTCACTCCCATATCCCACCTGCTGTCAAGGACTATCAACTTCACCATCGTAACACTTCTCCAATATCCCCCCTTCCTTCTTCTGACACTGCCACAACCTAGAGGCAATGTCCCATTTCTTCACACCTAGACCACTACAACGGCATTGCTGGTTGGGCTACCTGCCACAAGTCTCTCCGCAGTCTACTACTCCATGTTCCACTCAGCTGCCAAAATGATTTTCTGAATGCGCTGGTCTGATCCGTATTACCTCCAGGATCAAACACGAAATCCTATTTGGTGTTCCAAGTCCTTCATGATCTAGGCTCTCTTCCCCCTAGTCTTCTTACATCTCCTATGCCACCCCACCTCCTCCCTCCACCTCAATACACAGGAGATGTTTAATATTTGTTGACTTTATTTCATTTGGGTGTAGTTCCAAGTTGCTTTCTGAATGCTGGCTACGCCAACAATGTATCTGTGTGCCTGGTTGCCAGTATTTTTGGCTGCTTTTGCCACACTGGAGATTCTTTTTCATACCAGCTACGCTCCAAATATTCCCTCTCAGATCTTGTAACTGTGAAGCCGATTTTAAATACATTTAAAATGTATTTTTATTATTTGATTCTAAATGCATCCCTATACATGTTTCTCTTCTCTCATCAGAAGTGGGTCTTTGTCATTGTTGTTTTTGTTAAAATTGAGAAGCTCAAGGCTATCTCTCTCCTATTTCACAGAACGCCCCTACTCTTCTCCTTTGCTCCACTCCTGTCTCTCATGAAGTCGCCCTTCTTGCCCGTATCAAGCCTTTATTTTGTACCTTTGCTTGACCCGTCTGTTATTTCCTCTCCTCCTCTCTTCAACTTCTTTATCTTCTTGTTCCTTTTCTATATGCCCAGGTCTCTCTCAACCTTGAAAAACCTTAACTTGATGCTGCAATCATCCTGTATCTCTCCTGGTCATACTTCTAAAAAGAATGAGCCACACTTGGTGTCCACCATTTCCATGCTCACTCTGACCCCTAACAACCTGCATTCTGACTATATCACTCACAAAAATTTTCTCTCCAAGGTAATTAATGATCACAGTTGCTAAATGTGATGGTCTTTCTCCCCCTCAATTCTCATTCTCTTTGGCCTTTCCATAGAGCTGTTGACACTGCTGACAGAGAGGAGACACTGACACCCTCTCTCTCCTGGATATTCTCTTAAGTTTACGTGATATTATACTCTTTCCTGCTTCTCCTACCTATCTGATCATTCTTTCTCAATGTCATTTACTGGATCATCATCATCATCATCATCATCACCATCATCTATAACCATTAAATGTTGGTTGGGATAGTCTAAGTGGCTCTTTAGGGCATTCCTAAGGATCTGGCCTGGGCATTTTTTCCCCTTTATAATCTCTACTCCTGAATTCATCAAGTCAATTGAGTGCAATTGTTTCCAAGATGGATATATCTAATCCTAATCTTTCTAATGGTCCCTAGTCTCATATTACCAACTACTAATGTGCATCTCCCTCTGGATGTCCAATCAGCACCTCAAACTAATTGTCTGAAACAGAAATCCTCTTCCCTCCAACTGACCTCCTTCTCCAAACTGCCTAATTTCTGATGAAGGAATAATAATCTTTCTCACCATCCACGCTGACAACTTACCCTCCGGATCTAACAGAATGCCACGTCTTCCTTCCTCTAGAACGTCAATCCTTCGTCTAGAATAATCTTCTCAGCCCATTACGCCTCCCCCCACCCCTCACGGCCACTACCATAATACAGTGCCTCATTCCTTCTTGCTTCAGCTCGTGCAGCAGCTTATTGGGTGTGTTTCTAGTCTGGCCTCTCTCCAGTCCCTCCTCTACATGACTGCCCAATTATTCCCAAGACACAGGTCAAACCTTGTTTAATCCTCTGCTCACAAGCTCCAGTGGCTCATTAATGTCTAGGATTCTGGTATCTACCTATTCTGGCTC